TTCGCTGCATATTAATAACATATACCGTCATTTTTAAAAACAAATAAGTTAAAGATAAACCACGCGCACACTTCGTTGGAAAAAAATTAGAACCGCCACAGTTATATTCCGTCTAAGTAAAATCCTAACTGCATCGGAAAATTTACTTTACGAGACGTCGTACGGCCGTCCCCGCTCTCTGAAAACTGAAGCTGAAGAGAGCACATCATATTGCTCAGTTTTCAGTAAATCTATAACAGAAGTGCACAACATTATTTATCCTGCTCTGCTCGATCGCTTTCCCTTATATCCATCTTCCTCACTCTTCTTATCCTACCCGCTTGCGAAACCTAAAAACATCGAAAAAAAAAATATTGGATTACTTTCTTATTATTCGTAAAAGGGACATAATATGTTTGACAATTTAGAATTTAACATGGGATGCTAATTTTGGCGGGAATTTTATGCAGTACGTAAAAACATTAGGTTATTAACATTTTAGTTTCCTAGCTTCTAGGCAGACGTGAATTTCATACAGCTTATTTTGATAAGGCAGGCCTACTCACTTAGTTATTGGTTGCTTTGTATTACACGTATTATGCACCATATGGCTGCGTGCTTTCTTTATCGGTTAATGACGCATTAAAGATGGACGGTGTAGGTTTCCCTCTGGTCATTAAAACAATTTACGATAGGCATTGTGTTAGGGAATTTTATAGCTCAGTGGCGGACGGCTTAATAAAATCTTTTATTATTCCCTTTTCTCTTCACAGATATAAAACGCGAGTCATAAAATCAATACTTGAACAATAACCCCTCTTATTTATGTTGGACATTTGTGAATACTGATTGCTTATTACATATAGCTAGTTTTCTACGGTTAGTTCATTTATTTTAGAGACTTCTTCACTCAAGATACAAGAAAACTGCAATACATAAACACCTATATGTTTGATATATAATAGTTTGAACACAACAATTATTTTATAGTTTACATTATTATAATTAAGTATTTAATTTCTCCAATATTTAAATTCATCTTATGGTGGTAGGTCCACGCAACAGTCTTTGCTGTTGCATGAATGGGCAAGTCCGTACAGGTAAGTACAACGACCTCACAGAATACCGGCGTAAAGTGGAAATGTTATACATCTGCGTTTTCTCTGATGACTGAGGTAGCCGGGGCCCCGGGGCCCACTTTACAATAAGGCAACGCATCTGCAAACTTAAGGGTTTTGCAAATGTCCATGGGCGACGGTTGTCAATAACGATCAGGTGAACCGCCAGCTCGCTTGCCACCTTCTCAAATAAAAAAAATCTGTAATGTAATAATAATAAAAATGTGTTTGTATTATTAAAATAACCCTTTTTTACTTAATGCTTATGAATATTATGGTATACACGGTACATATACCAAAATATCTTTTTTTAATTTTTGTCGGGACTTTTACTGGCTGATTGCTGATGTAATAAGGAGTAGCTTAGGCTACTTTTATGTTATAAAGTTTATTTATTTGTAATTTCAGGCGGATGAACACGCTAGCGTAAAGTAAAAAAAGAAAGGAATGTTAATATAAGGTTTACTTCCTAAAATAAAGATACGTTACATGAAAAGTCTAAGAATATAATAATAATAAAAATCTTATTATTTTACATGTAACAGACCACGTAGAGCAGGTTAGTGCGCGTCGACCTCGCCGCCTCCTGGTGCACTAGTAGGGCTGGCGAGTGAGGTAGCCGGGTTTAAAGTTTAGCATCGCATTTGCAACTACACATGATGTCTTGTAGTTTACCATGAGCGACGGTCACGTAACGTTAGATGAACCACCTGCTTGTATACAATAATTTTATCCTATAACTAATACGGTAATGTTTTCTTCATTTAAATCTAATAAGAATAGGAAAAACGGGTGTAGCCATTACATGCGATTAAAGTAAAACTAAAAGAATATTTTAAATAATTGATACTAATTTAATTATCAATTATTATTAATAATGTATTAATAATGTACTCAGGGTAACTTTAGGCTCGAATGTCGGTGAGCACCTCATTGGCTCCAATCTCTTTTCTTTTTTTTTCACAACCTTACTGTAGGATAACATTATCCTGTGTTGTAAGGAAGTTTTACAAACTACACGATATAAACGTGGATAAACGAACTAATTATTTATGGGTCACATAAATAGTTTTCCCGTGAGGGAATGGTACCTACAACCTCGGCGCCGGAGCCAATACAGAAGTTTGCGTTTCTCTAGTAATGAATAATTATACTGTAGTAGGGGTGGAAAAAAATAAGTTCCTCCTGGTGTGCAGTGGTATCAACGCAACGTCGACTTGCATAGTGATTGCAGACTCCCGAGTCCCGAAGATTCGCGAACATTTCAAAGACCTAACCAAACGATTTTTCGATAGAGCCGAACATCATCTCAACCCTCTGGTGATAAACGCAGAAACTACCAATCCGACATTAACGCGAGCGTCAATAAGCGTCGTCCGCGCAACGTCTTCATCGACCTGGTCGAGGAAAGGTCGAGGAAAGTAGGTCGGACCCACCGTCGGCGGCCCCGACAGATAAGGCTACACACACAGTTAGTGCAACACTAAACGCCATAGTTCGTCCTCGCCTTCGAGCACGGCGAAACCAACATAACGCGTACTCAAGGTACACCCACGTTCTAGGGCGGTTCTCACCGCCCCCGGCCACCGACTAACCAAGCACAGTCAACGGCTATTGGGGCACGGTCCGCACCGAATGTTAGCCGGTAGGCGACACTCCTAAGCTAATGCACGCATGGGCACATGCGTGGCCCTACCAACTGTGGAGGGCCTCAAACCCGTGGGTTCTGGCTATCCCATCGGTTCTGCCTTCGATGAAGCTTTAATAGATTCGAGACTGAAAGCGTTAACATCAGTTAATGCAAGAAGGGTGGAAACATACTTTCTGATCACGAAGGTATTTCGTGGCCTTGTGAAAACTACTTCAGTTTGCAAGATAAAGAATGCCTTGATTGGTATTTTTAGGACGATCATTGGAATAGTCATAATTTGGGACGCTCGAGTCATTCGTAGACATTGTTCCATTTAGACTTGTACTGGATGATGAAGGAAGAAACGTTTGTTTTTCGTTCGGCTCTGTAGGCGAATACTACATTTCGCTTTTTAACGTTTTTGGCGTCTGAGACCGCCTTTTGGGCGGTGGTCGCGGCGGAACAGGTAGTGGTGGACGCATCGTTTTCAATCACTGTCACATCACAACATGGGCCTTTTTGCGCTTTATGCGCTTACCTGTGACGATGGTGATATCTTTATCGCTCAAAACATTTATTTCATTTCAGAATAAAACTTTCGAATGTCCAAATGCAGATTTCCCATTATCGGTTATGCAGATCGCTGTGGCACCAGGATTTGTCCCAAGATCTAAACAACCTGGATACCCTCCTTAATAATTGTATCAGGTATGTACATTTTCGATTCACGAAAGTATGATCATATATCCCAGTATCGCTCTCAGCACAACTGGCTCACCATCCGACAAAAGCATTATTCCAAAATTTTGATCATGATTTTCTCCATCTTGGTCTTCCCCTTCTTATCTCTAAAATAAGTTTATGTATCTGTCTTAGACTCAACAATAAACTATGCATACCAGTGCACTTCACCGATTTCTATGTTCATTATCAAAGCTAAAAAACTCCGGAACTGTTGAACCGTGAACCGCGGCAGGGCCACGCAAGAGTTCGATGTCGCACGAAAGCGCAGGTTCGTCCGATGAAGTCCACAACCTCACAGAAGACCGGTGTGAATTGAAAATTTTAGACTTCTGCGTTTCGTCTGGTGAGTAAGGTAGCCGGGGCTCACTTTATTAAAAGGTGGCAAAGCATCTGCCACCCTACGGGGGTTGCAAATGTTCATGGGCGCGACTATCACCTAACATCAGGTGAACCGCCAGCTCATTACAAATAATATTAAATAATAATAAAATATATTTTTTATATTGATGATATTTAATAAATTTATTATTCTTATCTAATCTGCACACGTGCTTCAACACGTTACAATATTCCGTTTAAGCCGTTATAAAATAATATAAGTGGCAATGCGTTTTCAGCACCACAGGATGTTTGAAGTTTTGAAGATGTTCATGGATGGTGATTATTGCTTAACATCAAGTAAATCACCTGCTCGCTTAGTGGAAAGCTCACTCAAATTAAAAAAAATCGTTAGCTATAAGGTTATCGGCTATCTGCAATCTTGGAGATAGCTACACTACTTTATTACACATAGCCAGATAGGATGGAGACAGCTTGGAGAAACGTATAATCACTAATGAAAGCTTACCAAATACGCTATTTATATTATTCAGATTTACATTGTGTGATCCTTACAGACAAAAAATAAGTATTGGCATAATCACATTCACAACAAAGTTGTCCATGATTATGATTCGCAACAGTGGACAAATAAGGAGACTGAGACATTCAAGAGGCGAGAAGAAGAAAACACCTAAATACTTAATCATCAGCAGCAGGAAGATGTCCACTATGAAACAAAAGCCTTCCTGTTAGAACGTCACGACGAAAGAAACTTTCCACCGGTTACCCGCGAAGTTTACATTCCCATTAGTTCCACTTATGAGGCCTTACAACTTACAAAATTTGAAAAAATTAAAATTGCCAGCTGCATTTCTTGGTAGGTTGCTAGGTTATATTTGACTAGTGACTAAAAATTAATGATTGATAATATATTTTTCGTTATAGATAAATATAGTAACTTATTTGTTCAATCGATGCCCTTTGTTGATGACATTTAGGTAAATATACATTTTTGATTCTTGTTCTGTCTAACTCTAATCTAATGTCATTTTTTGATATCAAACGTCATAAACACGTTGTAGAAGTCCTATTTCAAAAGTTCTTAATTTTACAACGTAATTTTGAATTAACAGATCATTATCATAAAGTCTAAATCTCTTTTCAGTTCATTTATTCAATTAAGAAACTTTATATAACTGTGACAGAAAATGTCAAATGTTAAATTGAATCTGATAGCAGCCGCCTGCGAAAATATGGGCATCGGTGTCAATGGGGCACTACCTTGGAAACTAAAGTATGTACCTATTACTTTATTAAATATACCTTCTAAAGTACGGAACCCTAAAAAAGAAGTGTTACTTACGTATTTATTATGATAGTCTTTAATATGTTCAACCATTGATTTTGTTTTTAAAAATTTTAGTTTTTTATTTTATTTTATCATTATTTCACTTTCATTCCTAAGAGAAAATATACACACAGGGTCCGCAATTTTAAACGTTTTCGTCAAAACCAAAGTCTACGAATGAATTTTATTTATTACTATATTGTAGAATAAATAAGGATTATATGCCTCGAGTAATGAGAATAAGGTGATAATAATAAAGGACTTTCCTTACACTTTATGTCTGCATATTTTGGTTAATTTATTTATCTTCTGTAGGCTAAATGGCTTTTTGAGATTTAATGAATGGGTTATCATTAAATACAACTGGTTTATAGTTAATATACATGTTTAAATTATTTTAATTCTACTTAGTTATTATTTTTGTAATGACTAAAATACATATTGGTTTTATACAGAAAGGAAATGGCTTACTTTACAACAATGACAACAAAAGTAAAATATGAAAATAAAGTCAATGCTGTTATAATGGGCCGGATTACATGGGATTGCATCCCAAATAAATATAGACCTCTCAACAATCGAGTTAATATAGTCCTCACACATCATGTGGATGATGTAAAAACAAAGGTAATTAAAAAAGAAAATGTATTTAAATCCCAAAATATATATACTTATACATAAATAAAAACTAATTCAAATTAAATACATTGTTGAGCTGTAAGCTCTGCATTGCTGTAAGCTGTATAGGGTATATATAGATAATAGGGTTAATTTACATGATTCAAAAATAAAATAGATGTTTCTTTCTCATAACTTTTTCTCTCAATAAGCAATTACAAGTAAATCCAGCAAATTGTAAATAACTGTCATATTGAACATGAGCAACCTGAGATCGATCCCCGGTACTGGCACCAATGAAATAAATTTTATGTACTGATTTATCATATGCTCTGCGGTGAAGAAAAATATTGTGAGGAAACCTGAATATTTTCAAAATAATATTAAAAAAAATATTTCCAAGGTATGTGAAGTCTGCCAATTCACATGACCGTGTGGTAGACTATGTATAACTACCTAATACCCACTGTATACCCTCTATATACAGGAGGCCTTTGCACAGCAGTTGGACATAATTATATGTTGTTAAGCTGGTACTTTACTTTTTTCCATAAATAATTTTGTGATGCATAAAAGATGATAAATTATTTAAATATACTGATAAATTGACTATATTTTTAGGTTCCAGAGGGGGTGGTTGTTGTGCCAAGTCTAGATGAAGCAATCTGTTACATTGAAAGCAGAGATGATATTGAATCTACTTGGGTTATTGGTGGATCCTCCATTTATAGGGTAATGTTACATCATTCAATTTATTGTGATTGAAAATTGTTATATAACACATATTTTTCTTGCTTACTTGCTGTATCCCATAAAACCTCGAACCTTTTCAATATCCTATTATTGACCAAAAAAAAAAGATTAATCAAGTAATTTTATAAAAAATGTGACTATTTTTAAACCTTAATTTACTACATGATTGTTATTGATGTTAACAATCATGCTAAACCAAGTTGAAGTTGAAGTTTTATGTTTTAGGCTGCAATGGAACATGAAAATTGTGGCAAGATATACCTTACTGAAATACAAAAGTCTTTCGACTGTGACACATTTTTTCCAAATATAGACAAGCAGCAGTTTCATTTGGTGGATGAAGAAGAAATTCCTGGAGACAGGCAGCTTGAAGGCGACATTAGTTACTTTTTCCGAGTGTATAAAAAGTTGTAACAACTTGCTTTAAAGTTTTATTATAGTCTTTAGTTTTGTCTTGAGAAGCAAAATGGGCGAAATTTTAAATATCAAAAGCCTGAAATGAGATACCAATGTATCATGTTAGATTCATTTAACATTAAGGTAATTTTTTTCCCTATAATTGTAGGTTAAATTGCGGATGTTGATAACATGTCAGTTTCAGTGTTATTATATATATAAACATTTTAATGATATTGAAACATTCCCTATTTTAGTTCAATTAAATTTAACATGAATGTTGTTTGTAGTCATGGCTTATCAATGTCTGTGAATTATATTGAGACAAGTTGACCTATATTGTTTATTGATGCAACTGAAGCAAGTAAAGCAGGATAGTTATAATTGCATTTATAAAGTACTAGCCCAGTGCGCTACGCTTCGCCAGAAAAATCTTACTTGTTACCGTGGTAATTAGACCTATGGTTCAAAAGATAACAATCATTAACCACCAACACCACCAGTGTCACCTATCCGGCTCTAACTGAACTATGTTTTTTGGAGTGGCCATATTGCCCTTCATATATGTTTTAAGTTTTATATCAGTTGAACAAATGGTTCTGAGTTTTAGGTGAACATACATGCTCTTTTATATATTTATTAAGTACTTATAAATGTTGCTAAAATATGAATGCAGAAAGTAATGGTAACGTAGGGTGAAATAAGGGTCATGTTGAAATGATTGTAATAGAATTTAAGCTTAATGTTGAATTTAAAGTTAAGTTTGCTATAATTTCTTCATGGGAATACTAAAACAATAGGTTCCTGTACAATTCTTCGTTTTGTTGTCTAGTCATACATTTCAATGTGGTTTTTCAAGATGATTTTGAGATAAGGATAGTATAGTACAAAAATTTGAATAGGATGGGAATCTCTTCAAATGTGCAAATAAAAATATGTGCCTTCAATTTATAATTATCTTAATATGATTACTAAAAATCTAAGCTTTCAAGGCTTTAAGGTAATAAAATTGTGAAATGTTATCATAATATAAATAATAGTAAAAACATCTTCATGGGGACTCATATATGCCAACACCATATACATCAAATAAATTAGCCATTGACAATTTTATTATTTTCAATGTATGTGGACCACCATACTTTTTCAAATTTAATATTAATTTATAAGTACCTATATCTTATTCTAAAATTTCATTTATACTTATTTTTTTTTTACTGATCACACATGAAAATATCAATGGAAATGTGTAATAATATACAATCAATTAATGTGAGTCACATATTCCTTAAAATTAATTAAAATCATTCAGGTTTTGTAAAAAGTAGGCAATTTGTCATGAAACAGTGTATAAGCTAATTAAATTGATTTATGATAAAATTGCGTACTTGTTATCAAGCTTATATGTATGTAAGTCATTATTAGTACACGCTAGAATTTTGATAAAATTGTTATCATGCGCTTTTTGACTTTAAAAATTTATAATTGTTACCAAATTATATTAATAATAGGCGATATTTATGCTGTTTTATTTTAAGACTAAGAGACAGAGCCGTGTATCTCAGTTGCATTTGATCTCTTTCCGGTAAATCAAACCACCTTGAAATCAACAAGATGTTCTTGTTTTCAATGAGGCGTACGACTATCCGTACTTGTAAAATTTATAGAAAAAGTAGGAAAAGATTGTCGCCGCTGTGGGAATCGAACCCACGTCTTCGGCATTCGCGGCCTGACGCTTTAGCCACTAAGCTAAACGGCTGATTGCCACAACCGACGAAAATGTTAACGTCTTTAATTTACATAGTAGAAGCAATGCTTGACGCATCCATTGTTATATCCTTTCCAGCATACAAACAATCGTACAAGTATTTCGAATATCGTTGACGAAATTAAGTAAACTACTACTAACCACCAAACCAAACAAAATGTATAAATTTCGTCCACTCTGGAAACTTCTGACCATTGTCTGGTGAGGTCTATCTTGAATGCGACGAATATCACCTTTGCCAATTTACCCACCACTCGTTTACTCACAACCTATGATAACGCTGAATGCACCCACGCAAACTGTTGTAGGGCCTCGCAACAGTCGTCACTGTTGCAAGAATGGGCAGGTCCATTCGGGAAGTACCACAACCTCACAGAAGATCGGTGAGAAGTGGAAGTGGTACACTGCTCCGTTTCGTCTGGTGAGTGAGGTAGTCAGAGCCCAATTATTAAAAGCTGGAATCACATCTGCAACCCTACGAGTGTTACAAATGACCATCGGCGGTGGTTATCACTTAACATCAGGTGAACCGCCAGTCACGTGCTGCCTTCCAACATTAATATTAGATATAGATTATATAGACATAAATTTAGGGATCAAGTCGCCCCTCAGATGGAGTGTCGAACCTCGGCTTGGATTAAAATTTATAAGACCTACCCAGAGGATCGCACTATCGTTTACGAATGAATTTTTACAAACGAGCAATTTGTTTAAGAGATTCGTGAGGCCAGACGGATCACTCGTTCACGTGGCCAAGACCAAGATGAAGCAGATGAACAGATTTACTTTATGTAAATCTGTTCATCTGCGTCATCTTTTACCAGCAATTCTCATCTAAACCCTGGAAACAGAAGACACAATGTCTAACGCCCAGGGATATTACAGATCCAAGAATCATAAATAAAGGTGATAAAATTATGTTGACGTGAATAAAGTTAGTGTTCCGGATGGATGTTACGGATATTAACAGGATGGTATACTCATTTAACACCGATTTGCTTGTTGTTTAATGTAACTAACAAAACATGAAACGTTAAATGCTTAATTTTTGTATTGTTTACGTCAAAATTATTACATCTACAAGCGTTAACATTGGTAGAAATCGATTTTTATAATTTGCTTTTGACACCCTCTAAAATTGGAGCGTTTGTTTCAATTACACAATGTTGCACCAGCCTAGTACCAATAAGTACCGGCAAACATCTTGAGCGAAAACCTGGCATAATGGATTTCGCACTTCGCAGTCAATAATCCCTGCCACCTCCGTAACCACGTAAATACCTAAAATTAAACTATTGCGCATGGGAATGCCTTTTTCAAGATGTTTGCCGGTTATAACAGCTTTCTCCGCAGCCACAGCCGCCTTAAGTCTGATACAGCATATAAAAATATATAGTATGAAGAGTTTGACATTGAAATAAAACTAAAAATTGTTAAGATGAATTTTAATCGATTTTAAAGTAAACTTATTATTACGCTACATGCAGCGTCCCGTCTAAGTCGAAAAAGGATTGTTTATAATACTCCACAAACAAATACTGAAATAAAAGTATTGGGATGGCTGCTAAAATAATCCTAAAGGCTAACTGAAACAATGCTGGTAAGGAGCAATGTTGCTTAGACTAATTGCTCTTTTACATAGGTATGCTTAATTTTTGACATTACACATTTATGCCACTATTTCCTTCTTGTAAATGGTATAGTAGTAGGTAGATTATTATGACAATGGCATAGATTCGTGTAACAATTATCTATTGAAATATTTAAAGGAATTCAAAACAAGATACTGCTTATATACTAAATTTATATAGTAAGGAGTTTAATAAAGAAGCTTATTCACTAACGATTTTATCCATATGAGAACTAATTCGTTAATGTATAAGCTCAAATAAAATATGATCCTTAAAAGAAATATTTAAAAAAAGAAATCAAGTGTAGTGGAATAATATTAAAAATCATGCAGTACACACAATCACATATAAGTAAACCATTGTTACTTTCATGTTATTGTCACAAATATATCAATTAAAATCGCATTTATAAAACCACTGTTAAAAAACAAATGAAATATGTTCAGAAAGTTAATATTTTGGAAGGCTTCAATGTTATGCAATGTGTGTACACACAGACAGAATAAATGTGGTAATTGAAATGTAAAGATATTTTTTTTTTGTTTTTATAATTTTTAATTTTTTTTGTGGTTTTTATTTTTTAGCGCTCTATCCCGGAGTGGGTGAATAATAATTAATACACGACGACATATACCTCGTTAAATATAATTATAGAATAAAGTAAACATTTCTACTACATCAGTTTTGAATTTTGAAATCTTATTAGAAAGCATTATTTTCAAAGCTGAAATTGTAGAAAAAAATATAAGACTAATAACTAAAACGACTTTTGATTCCTCTAAGACAATGAAACATTGTTGTTATAATGTTGCAATAGCAATTACTTTAATCAAGCATACTACAAACATAGTGATGTAACTGTATTGTTTAAATCTACACTATATCTCATTACTTCAAGAAATCAAAAGACACTACACAATAGAAAATACATACTAAATATCTAAATACTACAGACTTGTTGACGCTTTATGGAAACCACGATGCAAGCCCAATGCAATACTTTAGAGGAAAATGTGCTTGAATAAGATACCAATTTTTACCAATCGCAGTTACTTGTGACAGCATTACATGTATTTTAATTCATGTAATAATTTAAAAATACTGAACAAACTAGAGCAATAAATATCATAGGGAAGATATGACAGCTTTATTTTATTGTTTTTCACATTTTTCTATACTATGGTTCATAATAGTTTTAAGGCACGCTGTCACAAAAATAGTGCCGATTTATGCCTCTGGGCGAAATACTGCAATTGGTTAACTACATTACTTTTTTTAATATATTCCAAGAGAAGTGAATTAAAATATAGATTAATAATTGCAGTGCGAGCCAGAGATGGGATGATATTTATTGCATGTTATAGTGCAGAAAGATGTAATCCGGGTGGTTAATTTCCGGCGGCATGAGCGGCGAAGCGGGCGGGAGCAGTTGGAATCCCATGAACATAAAAGTGCGGAGCAGGGTGGCTCTGTCTGGTCTGGACTTCAGTACGCAGATGATGCAGCTGAAAAAAAAAAAACGAACAATACATATGAAGTAAAGTGAATTATCATACTTCTGGTAATTTTATATGCTATACTTATTACTTGAATGTGAATTATAAAAGAATAGCAAACTCGGTAGAGTGGAGAAACAAGTAAATTATTATACTTTTTCCTACTTGAATAATTTTAATTTCTTTAGTTATTAGGTATACATATTAATACATTCAATGACATAGTTCACAACTAAAACTTGACTAGCTTTGATATTAGTTGCAAATCTACATGTTCATTCTATCAAAGCTCACATTCATTCATACTGACAACATTATTGTTTTTGTACTACCTATCAGTTTGTCCAGATTGGAATAGAAAACTTTTTTTTTAAATGTCTTTCTAAATCACTTACTTGTTGCAGCCAAGTTTCTCTTCAGCAAAGTCCAGAAGCAACATGAAGCTCTCCTTGCTGCCAGATTGAAGCACTCCAGGCATGCGCAGATAGATGGTATTGCGATGCACTACCTATAAATAAATTAGGCAAAGGTTTAGTTTGGTATTATATTAATACAACAAGTTATAATTCTTTAGCGTAACAAACGAAAAATAACTAAAAATTATCCTCTGTGCAGTACTCTTTCTTTATGAAAAAGATTAATCACAATTCATAACGGTTAAATTAAATAATTTGGAAATATAGGTAAATTATAAAACGTGTAGTAGGTTGCTTTGCAACCAACTTAGTCATGACTTTATGGTTAACGGTGTGCGCGTGCATGGTAAAACATTTACTCTTATAATTTATTCCAAACACGCCAAAAGAGTTATATTTATTTCAACTTTTTATGTATACTTTGTGATAAAACAAACTACTTACAGCTTCCCAGCGAGTTACGGTGTTCTCAGTAAGGTAGATTTTGAAATCTACTTTCACTGGCTGTCGATCTTTACGCTCTAGAATTTTGCCGATTACCTGTAATGGTGTTATTATTTTGATTATATATTATTGTTGTTAGTCATCTGTATGAATAAAGACGAAAAATAAGTTATTCACAAAGTTATTTCACTAATTAATTAATATACAGCATACATAGATGTTACCTAATATACCTGCAGTATAAACCTGACTGTTCAATGTGAGACATTAGTGAACCTGATGATTTATATCATCACATTTAAAAGTAAAAAAAATGTACAAAATATAACACCCTTTGTATATTATTATTAATAAAAAATGTTCATTTTCTGCATATAGGAACACTCAACACTGCTTTCTGGTATGACGCATAATATTTGCATATCATATCATTGTGCCCTAGGTACTCATTCTAATTCTGCATACTATCATTTAAAATGATAAAAGAGGTCACTTATGTTTGACATTAACCAGTTAATTTTACCTACAAGTCAAAACATTCATGATTATCTTGAACAGTGGTTTTTTTAAGAAGAAAATATGTATTAACTAGTTTCTCATTTAAAAGTCTGACTAGTGATCACAATGGTTGGTACCTAAAACAGCTACTTAACTTAGGAAAATAAAACAGTTGTCAAACTGACTTCCTCATTACTTTAGTAATTTGATAAAATCCCCTTCTTGGCACTTAGAAATATCATTTCATGGAATTCAATCAGATTGGTTTGAATGAACCTTCTTGACCTCTGGATAAACAATACTATTCATATATATTATGATGATATATCATAAATTACATACACACTGATTACTTTGACTTTTCCTTTAAGCAGGAATGCGTATTTTCAAATGCTTTCTGTGTTGATCCCCCTAAACCTTTGAATATTTGCTAAAAATTTGATTTTGTTTATACATTAGTAATTTGTTAAACGAAAATAAACCTCAGCCGGACTAGGCAGGCGCAAAGGATTTGCGGCGCCAAGTTCACTCAGCTGTTTGGATTCGTGATGACCGTGCGTATTATTACACTTGCCATCGTGATGACCGTGTGTATTATTACACTTACCATCGTGATGACCGTGTGTATTATTTATTACACTTACCATCGTGATGACCGTGTGTATTATTTATTACACTTACCATCGTGATGACCGTGTGTATTATTACGCTTACGGTCGTGATGACCATGTGTATTAGGTATACCGTTTTCTTGTGACGACTACGTCTCAACTCACCGCTTCACGCCTGTCCGGGTGCAGCGCCGGATGAGTGAGCGACGGGGAGCCGGGATCGGTGACCAAGCTCTCCGCGCTGCTCGTAAGCGAGCTGGCGCTGGCCCATAGCAGTGCGCTCAACAAGTCACCTGGTGTTAGAGAACATTTAAAAGCTGCTCATAAACATTATCACCCGTGTAGAGGCTCACACGATTATTACTCATTTTCAGTATTCATTAAGAGTACGCGTAATTCATGTCGGAATGATTTCTCTATATGAAAAATGAATGACGACGAAAAAATAAAAAATCGGAAACGATAGATGCATAAAAAAATTTATGCACATAAAATACTACGCGTCCTCTTTTATTTTGGTGAAAGATTTCGTAGATAAAAAATTGCAGAGTCATGAAAAGGAACGGTCCAATTTGTAAACAACTAATTAAATTTGCAATATAATATATTTTGGTCGTATAAGTAGACTTGTATTAATACAACTAGTATTAGTGTACTCAAAGTTAAAATGTATATGATGGTTTCTGTATATTCAATCGTGCATAGAGAGTGTTTGTTACTTACGGTTGTTGTCGTCGGTGGTGGGGGTTGATGGTATCGCGGGGCTCGAAGCCCCGCTATTCACCCCTCCGGGCGGAGCCGAGCCGTGAGCAGGGACATCAGGACCACCTGTTACATGCACGAGTTCATTACAGTAACTATTGCACTGAAAGGTTGATTCTTGCACGTAACGAATGCGTGAAGTGGAAGTGTTTCGTCTGGTGCGTCGGGTAACCGGGACTCACTTCATTAAACCCAACGCAACGCAACATACCTACGGGTGTTGCAAATTCAATGGGCGGCGTTTATCACTTAAGGCGGTGAACCACCTCCTCACAGACAAAAAATGAAGCTCGTAGAAACTCAAGTCTTTTTACGAGCAAAATCGTATTGCATCCATCCAAAGGTTGCCTGGAAGAAATAAAGGCTACCATTGTACAGCGCATACGTAATTGTTATTATTAATATACTTTTTTTTTAACATGTTGTGTGCAATAATGTACAGATTATTTCACTCATTCATTCAACCGTTATCATACTCAGCATATCATGTTAACATGATTTACTGAGTATATTATACTTCCAATTTACGTCGGTCTTTGCGAGGTCGTGGCATTTACCCGGACGAGCCTACCCATTCGTGCATGCGTGGCCCTACCACAATTTTGTACCGACACCACCTAGATGGGATAGGGGCAGGAGAACGAAGATGATGCCGATTTATACAAACAAGTGCTGGTTTCTCATCTACATTAAAAAGCCTGTTTGGATTTGGGGCTACGCGAAACGGCACTAAATCAACGGCCGGCGGGAGGGAGGATCGGCACTTACCACAGAGGCCCGGCGCCCAGGCAGAGCGAAAAGCACTCGGCGTCCGAAGCCGACATGGCCGAGCGCTTGCTCCCGGCCGCGTTCAGAGACGCGCTGTCGCCACTGAAAGAAAAATAAATCATTTGCACTTATGTCATCATCATCGTCAGCCGCAAGACGTCCACTGTTGAACATAGGCCTCCTTCTTAGAATGCCACAACGAACGACACTTATGTAAGCACGTAGGAAGTTATACTTCTTCGCGTAACAAAAGAAAAGTGACTAGAAATTTTATCCCCTGTACTCTAATACTATTTGTGTGAAATTTTCATTAAATGATAACGATTTAATTAAATAACTTGGAATTATAGGTAAATGTGAAAGGATGTCATGGGTTACGATGGTGATACCGTGAAGTTGATCTCCTTGCAACCAACTTTTTCCAAACGCGCCAAAAGAAGTATAGCTTCAAAAGGAACAGCACTAACATAACACCCTATAATCTATGACCGAAAGTGTTTATGCGTGCTCTTCATTTTTTCATGGATAGGCATACCCGGCAAGGGAAGTACCAGGAACACACAGATGACTGGCGTGAAGTGGAAGTGTGAAGTGAAGTATTTTTATACTAATACGTTTTGTCTGCTCCACGAGGAAACCGGGACCCACTTTGTTTAAAGGTAAACTAAAATATCTGTGATGTGGTTATTTTAAACGAAATCATTACATAGTATAGGTACTTAGATCTTTAAAACTACGCGACGGATCTTGATGCGGTTTTTTTCACTAGATTCACTAGGGTCGCTAGTAACTTAGTAAAACAGTAAATGTCTCTTGCTAGGCGGAAAGACGCACATAACGATTTTTATTAGAATTTCAGTCTGTTTTAACCGACGGCTGAACATAGGCCTCCCACGAAGTAAGATCCTGAGGCATCCATCGACTTCCCGTACATTTTCACATCCTCGGTTCATCGTCTTTTATCGTCCGATAAGGCGAAAATACAACAGAACGCCAGACGCAAGCGAATGTTTAAGTAATGTTGATAGGTTCATATTCATTAAGGCCCATTTACACGATGCCATTTTCTTGTACATACAAGAGCAATAATTGAATGCAATAAGTTGCACGCAATAATTGACCATCAAGAATTGTAAGCAACAGTTTACACGCAGATATAGTAAAAAAAATTGAATGCGATTATTGTATGCAAGTCTTGACAGGAAATAATTGCAAAGGTCTTTTGTTTACACCAATGCAATTATGTTTATGCGATTATCGCTTTCAAGTTTTGACTTGTCTAAACACATGCTTGTATGTGCGTGTACAATTTATTGGCGTGTTGCTTCAAGTATTGCACGTATTTGCGTTGACAAATTTTTCATGCAATTGTTGAACGTTTTACAAAGGGCTGTTTTTTTAAAAAAATGGCTCAATAATAAGTGTTCAAGTTAGATTATGCCGATAAAATATATTTCATTGAGATTTATTTATTATGATCCATATATTATTATTCATATTTTTATCCAACTTTTTTTACGACCTTTTCTCAATATTTCTATCCTCAAAAGAACAGCAATGATTAAATACCCTCACTCATTGCACAAATTTTTGCCAAGGAAGAGAGAATGCAATTGAATACAAGAATTGCTTAAGAAATTATTGTGTGTGCTGTTTACACCAAGGAAAGTTTTGAAACAAAACTTGAAGCGTCTTGTTCAACAGGCAAGAATGTTATGTGCTGTTTAGACCATGCAACTCATTTATTGCTTCAATTTAATTGTATACTACAGGCAAGAAACTTGCACCGTGTAAATGGGCCTTTATTCAGGAAAGGAATCGTCAAGTCCCATAAACAATGCATTAAAAATTGCTCCATTTCAATCAGATTTGGACTTTGGACGCTGGTTGCTTGTTTATCAGTTGTAACTGCGCACATTGTATTTTAATGCCCTGAGAATAAATGTAAACAGACTTTATGCATGTGACTTGCGCGGAACGATGTCTCTCGGTGCATGCCAGGTACAAAAAAATACAATAATTCCTCGTTTATCTACCAATAGCGGGTATTAGTAAAAACGATGACAAAGCTAAAAGGTCTAGTCAAAGCGTATTTCTATTATTTTAATCTATCCTTCCTTTCGTCCTTTTAGGTATACATTATCCGAAAATTGTGGTAGACGTTTTACGTTCCTAAAATGCAAATTGCCATAAACAACTGATATAAAGAAAGTATGGTTCAGTACTACAAATAAATTTCCCTTTCAAGAATCGAATCCATCAACGCAAGTCATTATAGCCATAATATAAGCTAAAGCAATGTTATGCTAGTCTAACTCTTCACATTGACTGATTATTCTTAATAAATTCATAGCCAGGAAATTTCCACTTTATTTAACAATACTGACAAAGCGTTAGGACAAAAAAAAACGTTTCAAATTTCATGTAGGTACTGAAAACGAGTCTGGTTTGAACTTCAATTGTAAACAGTGCACTAGGCTCCATGGAATCGGTACGGAAATTTCCATCAATTCTGCAATGGAACGAAGTAGGTACTCGGTAAATTGTTAGCAATGACTGCGGAGGCCGCCGACGTGACTTCTTGATTACCCCGATCTATATGCGCACCTGAGCAGAATTGAGGCCATGCATCACTCTAGTCTTCCAGAAACTATGTGCACTATAATATTGAATTGGAACATCTATTAATGGCCCAATATATCAGACTTCTCTAATACACTCGTAACGTCGATATCTATAGAAAGCCTACTATCTATTCAGATTATTCTATCTACTTTGAATTGATCATTCTGATCGCACGTAAGTAAAAGCAATTTCAAATAACCAGACTTGTAAAGAATAAATCTCATTCACATATAAACTCGATATTCAAATCATAAACTTCATTATAGGATATATTGTGTTATAACACAGAAGGGTGGGGCTATAGAATATAAAAAAGACAATTGCAGGATTAAATGAAGCCTGTTAATATTAAAGGTTCGAAGATGGACGTAATCTTGTATAATTCAAGCATTATTTATCCACCTTGTAAAGGTTGGATAAAAAAAACAAATACTTCAAAGTTAAAATAACATCTGGTTAATACATTTTAGATTATTACACTTAGTTTACCTACTTTTATCTCAGACTTATATTTGAACGCGATTTCAGCGCAAATCTTATCAAGTTTATCTATATATGCACCGACAAATACAATTCTCGTTTATATCAGAAGATAAACATGAAGACTCGTTTGGGTGAAAATATCTCTCAAATCTCTAGTCACATAATATTAATTTGTATAAATATACAGCATAACTAAATAATCTGTTAAACAACATAAGATGTCACCTTGCTTAAAGCCTTTTTGGAGGGCAAAGAGTCGATGAAAACTTAAGTAAACTTTGTATTAATTTTCATTTATTGTAGAATGAACTCAAATGTAGCATACAGAACTAAATTCAAAAAACGATTATAAAGCAAATATTTATTAAAAACTAGCTGACTCGGCAAACGTTGTTTTTCCATATAAATTACTTCTAGAGGAATCGGAACGCACGCATAAAGTGTTTGACAGGTTACAAAGACACAGTTGACAGGTTGAAAATGAAATTGTTGCTATTTCGAATTTCCATGCAATTTTTACATAATTTCTCATCTTTTAAACCTTCCCTGGTCTGCCACAAATATTTCAAAACCAATATTACCCAAATCGGTCCAGCCGTTCTCGAGTTTTAGCGAGACTAACGAACAGCGATTCATTTTTATATATAAGAAGATTTATTCATACATTAAGATTTAAATTTAAACCATTTAAAATTATGAATAATCAAGAAGTCATTCAACATTGAGAAATGTTGATTTTTATTGACAAATACTCCCAAATGACATCGGTGACTAGAGCAAACATGGTTTCAGATCATTTCTGGACAAGATAATTGATGACACAATTTTTCAAAATTAAGGTGCGCTTTTCGTTGAATAAAGCATCTTATTGCGCAGCAAGTATTCATATTTTTTTGTAATTATCTTTATTTTTTTTTGTATATTAGGAGTCTTAATTTAAGTCTTTTAGGATTAGAGTTAATGGGATCTCAGAACGGTGAAGCCTGATTATTCGGGGGTCCCATTAATCCTGTAATCCACTAATCCATCCATGCGTTTGGAGGAGCGCATCGGTGTCCCTTTTCGCTTACGACTTACGATCTTGCGGTTTTTGGCTTCAGTACGGTTTCTTTTACTTGCTACTACTTCTTCTTTTACTCTTCTTTCTTCTTTTACTTCTACTCAGTTCCAGTCGAAGTGCCAATAGATAAGTCTACTTCAAGTCGAAGTAGAAGTCGTTTCTAATAAGAAAAATACAGAGTGGAGGTAGGAAAGACAGGGAAAATTTTCAATGCACGATGATAAGAAACTTACGGGCGCCAGAAACAGATCAGAAACATGAAATATTATTGGATGTAACACACATATACAGACCAACATAAATATGATGTTGGACATAAGATAGGCCGTAGACTTATGACGTTTGATATCTTCTATAATAAACAAACAGTATGATAATGCTTTAAGCACCGTATAATTGTTGCAACAATATACTATTTAAAGCAAAAGTTCAAAGAAAAATATTAATAAAATATTCTTACCAGTACAGTTTCACAACCATTGTAGAAAAGGCAAAAAAATAAAATAAAAATAAAAGGGGAATCAAAAATCTATTCTCTTATTTGTATAAAAAAAAACTAAAATATCACAAGCACTGGAATGTTTTAGCAGTTTTGTATTGTAAATTTACAAAATCGTTACAAATGCCTTGAGGCGATTTTTAATGGGAATTTTTCTAAAGAAAATTATTGTGCTGTATTGCATATACAGCATATTATTCCGAAGACGACTGCTTGGTCTTCTGACTTTTTGCTTTTATGATGCGTCCGTTTTATAGGAATCTCTAGCGGGAACTGATAGAGAGCGGGATAAACACGCTCGATTCAAAATAAATACAGCTTTGCCAAATGCAAAAATAGACACAAGCAAAACAACTTAAGAGACAATGCACACAGTTTTTTTTTCAGAGCAATATGGTAAATTCTAGACCGAGGTTGGCTGTTTTAAAATTGCCA